GGGGGGGGAATTATACTGTTTAAAACAGGCATTCGTTTACACTGACTCTTAAATAAGCGTAAATACAGATCGTCATTCTCCAAATTCTGTTCCTGTCATCATTCCTACACATTTTAGACCTCTGTTTTCGCAATACATTTAACGTCTCAGGATTTGATTAAATTAACAAAAAAACCCCGAACAAACAAACAAACAAAAAACCAAAAATCAAGTAAGCAAATATAGGCAAAGGAAGAAAAAGCAGGGATGTGAGTAAGCAAAGTAGAAAGTGTTTTACAAGCATCCTTCTTAAACTGGTGCAGTTGCATGGCATCACTATTTTGCAAACCACTCAAGTATTTTTCTGTAACATTTAAACAGATTCTTACCACATTTCTTTAGGAAGCCAAGCACATTGAAGTCTTTCAGATTGTTACAGTTCATGTACTGAGACTTATCAGCCAGACAATCTACATATCACCTGCACACCCGACTGATTCATCCTCTCTGTCCACTGAAAGGAAGCAATCAAGGTCACCACAGCCACCGATGAAGATGCACAGCGAAGTCCATCATTGCTTACAGTTAATCCCACAGCAAAGTACTGTACGTTCTACAAAGCATTTCGAATCCCATGTTTCGAGTTTCTTTTGTATTTAATATTTCACATTAGTTAGTGTTTCGGGGTTTTTAAAAACAAATCTTATTGGAAGTGTTTGCAGACATACAATTCTAAAGCAGCAAGAAACACAGTGGTTTCTTAATCTGCTGCTTCAGCATATTAAGACTCATTCAACAGTCACAACAGACACTTGAGTAACTGATGAACTCACAGTCCATGCCTTTAGCAATTTCCTGAACTGGGAGGTTTTGGGGCCACAAAGAACATTTACTTAACCATTATTACCATTTACCTTGTACAAACACAGGTATATCACAAATATTTCTATTTCCAAGCGCTAAGATACCTCAGAGGTGAATTTACAAATCAGTTAAAAAGGAAATGATTGACAGTAGATGGCTTCTAAGAAACATTATTTTGAGAGTCTTTCATGTAAGTCTATAAGCAAATACTTGAACTACTTGCTGACTGATGGATGGAAACAACAGCTCAATTCTGCACTCCAAATGACTCCAAGCATCTGACGACATGATCTGATCAAGGCTTTAGGTGAGCTATTGGCAAAAATTAAGGCACTTTCATAAAACAGGTTCATACCTCAAAGTAACCAACCACATTTTAAATCTCTTTTTCCTGGCATATGTTCATCAAAACTTTAAAAAAAAAATAAAAATCATCAACAAACACACTTAAGCTCCCTGCTCATTAGGACTTAAAAGTCTACACAACAGAATTAGTGTCTTCCACCCTGCCACCTTCTCCCCTTATATCCAGGTATATAACCTTTATGGCCGCTCAAGTCACTCCCACAATGAACAGACTTGTGCATTCCACAACGTGCAGTCTGATTACAAAATTCATTATTTCCAATTAAGCTGTGCTTCTTTTCCACAGCTTTCAGGGTTTCAGAAGAAACTTTAAGACAGGGCTATAGTACAAAGCAGCACAGTACCATCCAGGTCCTCAATTTCTATTTAAGATGCTTTTCCACTGTCCAAACTGGCAGCTTTAGAAAAGTATTATGTTTGAAAGGTAAGACAATTTAAATATCAACCCCCATGAGCAAATCATTTTAACAGCAATGCCGTGACAGCATTCTCTTGCAAAGGCATCTCCTTGTTGCTAAGTGACTCTACCACAACTAAAATTTCTGCTTGATACAATTCCAGCACCAACTTTGGGTGCACAAGTCCTCAACAATACAACTTTTTCAAGGACTTGCATGGAAAAGTAGAAGGAGACCCTGCACGGCCAGGGACTGGGTCTTGGCCATTGGAATAGAAGCTACCAGCCAGGAGGAAGTAATTTTGACCCCACGTGAACTGTCCATGCCTGAGGTCCTACACGTGGAGGTTCTTGGGGAAGAGGATTGGGGAAGAAAGAAAGGGAGGGCAAAGAAGGGATCACCCTTCCCACCAACACTTTTCAACATGATGTCCTCAATTTGAAAGTCCATATGCAATCCTCTGATACAGGAAACACAAGAATGAACCGCAATTTCTGAAGTTTTGCATTTTTAAATATAACAGGGTGAAATTCAGATCCTGTTGAAGAAGAACAGGATTCTATCACACGGGAGACAGCAAATCAAAAATAAGCGTTCTTGCACATGACAAATTAAGGACCAAAATATCACAGCAGTATTAGTTTCACCAAGTGTTTCCAGGGACAGAAGTTCTTCTAAACATAGGAACAGTCAAATTCAATACAGTAGACAACACTTACACATATCTGTCAGCCAAAAGGGTTTCAGCTGGATGTAGAGAACCATATCTTTTCACCTGAGCAACTGTACCAAGAGACATGGACAATGGTCCAGCACTACAAAGAAATAATATGTAAATACAATATTTAACTTCTTCATGTTGACGGCCAACTCCTGCTTTACGGAAACAATTACACATATATCAACAAAGCATTTCTGGAAGCTATCCAAAGGTTTTTGCTTTCAAAGACCAAAATAAGATCTATAGCATGTACAGTGTGTATTTGAAAGGAGTCTGTACAGTAGTCGACTGAGAAGAGTGGACAAGGATATACCCTTTAACAGCCTTGACGTAACAACTCTGGATGCTGGGGAAATAATGAGCGAAATGAACTGCAGCAAGAGGCCCCCTGAACAACTTCTTGTGCCACTCTCAAAGAACAGACAGCTAGACAAACCGATTTGACCCAGATGGGCTATCAAGCCCTCATTCAGACCTTACTTCAAGCAAAAGTCAATGCAGCAGATGAAGAGGTTTTCTGTCCTCAAAAAAACAGCCTACCCCTCCTGAAAGCAGAGCATTCAAGTCCAAGTAAGTGAAACCAACTGAGAACATTTTACTAGGTCCTGTTTCCTCGGAATACACAGCTGATTCTGAAGAGGTATAACATGGCACATATTCCAATTACACAAAGTGGTTAATTCAGCCAAAACAACATTACAATTGTTCAGTAAGAAGATTATGACAAGTTTAAAAAAATAAGTAATAGCAAGAGTTACTCAAATTTGTTAATACATACTTGAAAGACCTCCTGGAAATGTGACACTATGAAAGTTCATATTCTGTGTCTTATCAGGTACAGACTGGACATTGCTGTCCACAAGACAGCATCAAAGCAAGCATCTGGAGGAATGAGGGTTGTTAAAATTCTACTAGAGATGGTTTAAATAATTTTACTCAAGCTGCTTCAAATAGTTTTACCTAGCCACAATCTTCACTCTATTGGTGTTCACCTCATGGTTACTAGCTATATTGACATGTGTTGATGTTGCATAGCACACAAGCACAACGGAAGAACCAGGGTTTGGTTGGTTGCACCTTTTTTTTGGTGAAACTTGTTTGACAAGTTGCAAGAAATACAATAGCTGTATCCCCACAGGCAGTTTCCAACAAGCAGACATCCATGTTATACGTTGAGATTTTCACTATCACATGCTCTGCCCACTCTCTTATTACTGCACTCAGGCTGCAAGCATATGCTTCTCTCACACCCTTTCAAAAGAAATGTTAATGACAATGAGTAATGGGATAACGGAGGGCAGGTTTTCCACTTGTCTATGGAATTGCAGAGCAGAGGACTAAAAGAATTTAAGAAGTTATTTCAGAAAGTTACTACTGCAAAGACTCCTAACAGCTAAGACGAAGTAAATGAAAACAAGCATATTTCATTGTCCTGTACCCACAGTACAAAAGGAGTTAAGGTAGCCATTGAGGGTATACAGGCTGCTTAGAGAGGGATTTTTAATCAGTACACATATCACCACCAGTCTCTGCTGTTAATATTCACAATGCATGGATAGTTAACTTATGTAAAAACGCTCCCTCCCCCAACATTAAATACTGAATAATTCCTTTCTGACAAAGGCACTTTGAAAGACAGAAACCACATGGCAAACTCCAAGCTATACAGAACACATTGTTCTACAAAATTAATTTCTTCCATTCCATCTTTCCAGACATTTCATTAAAAAAATCTGCCTGTTTATATTGCAAGTATGATGAATTTCTACATAAGCATCATAAAATTTAGGAGATAACAGCTTTCACAAAACCCTATTCCCCGCCCCTCCATGAACCTTACAAAAAGGAACAGACAGTATCATTAAAAAAGAATGGCTTAAAAATTACACAAAAAAGAATCATGAAAATATCCTTACCATAGAATTCTACACATAGATTTAAAGATCCTATAGAAACATGGATGGAATTTGAGTGACAGTATCCTGCAGTTACAGAGGAATTTCCTCCAGGGAATCAGGATTGAATCAATTTTTCCTCAAACTTTTTTTTTTTCGCCATATTTTGAAGCTATTCATTTTCTGTGTGAATAGAATCAGCTACATTCCTCTAAAGGAAATTGTTCTCACACTGTACTAGCCATGAACTTTTAACAGCTTACCTAC